CTTTTCCTCAGCAAAAGTCCCTAAGGAAGCACTATTCTGGCTGAGGGGAATGCTTTTTCCTCTCCATCTCCTTGTAAGAGACCTGTCCCCACACACTGGGATTTGATTAGGTTGCCAAGATGTGGGAAACTTTCCCGGTGATCCCTAAGCCAAAGCTGGGGGCTCCTGGGGGTGTCTGCAAAGACCCGCTACCTCAGGCTGCCAGTAGACTTTAGGGCACCTGCTTCTGCTAGTCCTGCCCAAGCTCTCTGGGAAGATGGTAATTGTGCTGTGTCTTTCGATATATCTAGGTACTTTATTTTTGAAGGAAAGCAAGGAGGAACAGCGAACACAACACTCCCCTTCATTTAATTACAGGAACAGTCCGGACCAATTTGGCAGCTATTAAAATACTAGTTTGCCTTTATGCTATCTCTTCGCAGCGGGAGCTGGAAGTTCAAATTGGCTGCTAAGGGCGGGCGATGGGGACAGAAGGTCAACGCCGCTATTAGGAACCAAGTGGAGTTAAAAAACAGAGGCACCATGTGGCCTGCTCTGTCTCACTGCCTGCTTTTGTCCCTCCCTATCTCTTGGCCTTGTAAGCTCTCTGCTCTGTCACAATGTCTTTTACAAGAACTGGCCCAGAAGCATCGGAATGGGAAGGGACTTTGGGGACTGTCTTGTTCATTCTGCTTGTTTTCCAAAGGGAGGAGATGAAGCCAGAGAGGCCGAGTGGCTGCCTCCAAGCCAGCCAGCATGTTGGAGGCAGGCAGGACCAGAGCACAGAGAGCTTATCCATATATTCATTCAATTCCTTTTAAAAAATATATTTATTTCAGAGAGGAAGGGATAAGAAGAGAGAGATAGAAATATCAATGATGAAAGAGAATCACTGATCAGATGCCTCCTGCACACACTCCACTAGGGACTGAGCCTGAAACTAGGGCACATGCTTTGACAGGGAATCAAACTGTGACCTCCTGTTTCATAGGTCCATGCTCAACCACTGAGTTACGCCGACCAGGCTCATTCACTTAATTCTTGCAGTAAATCTATGTGGTTGGCTTTATCATCATTTCCATTTAACAGAGGAGACAACTGACACACAGGTGGTTGATGTAACTTACCCAAGGTCACATACTGAGTGAGCAGTTAGCACACATGGGTCAAACACAAGGCCCGTGGGCCAAATCTGTCCCGCCAGGCCTTGCAATGTGGCCCGCACCGCGCTGTCATCACTGCACTCCGCTGCGTTTCCATCACAATGACAGTTTATGACTGTTCAGTAAACCATTCGGCCCGCGATTTAGGCTGGATTTTAGATTTTGGCCCCTTCTCTGATTGAGTTCGACACCCCTAAGTTAGCATGTCGGTAGCCCAGGGCTCATGCAGGGATGGGACACCCAGCTCTGGGGACACAGTCCCCTGTCTGAGCCCTGGCCCTGGCCTCGCTGTGTGAGCTTAAGCAACTCCGTCATCTCTCTGAGTCTCAGTTTCCTTATCTGTGAAGTGAGGCTAATAAGCTGGGAGGGCTCACCAGCTGGAGCCACAACATTAAAACCAACACAAAGGACAACAGAACTAATGAAAGTTAAGTTAATGGGAAAAGCAGAAGTGGAGGTGGGGGGAGGAGGGAGGCGGGGTCACAAGGTACAAACACCCAGTTAAAAAAACAGATAAGACCTGGGACTGTCCTGTACACAGCATGGGGACTACAGTCAATAATACTGCAGTGTGTATTTGAAAGTTGCTAGGAGAGTAGATCTTAAAAGTTCTCATGGCAAGAAAAACATCTGTAACTACATGTAGTGATGAATGGTAACAAGACATTTCACAATATATCCACATATCGAATCATTATGCTGTTCACCTGGAAGTAAGATGATGCTATATCCTAACTTAAAAAAAACAGACTCCTGCCAGTGAACTCCTTGGTGATTTGATGGGATGCGTTTATTTTACTTTAACCCTCTCCAGAAATAATGAAAAAGAATTACACAACCAAATAACTAAAAGCGCTTGGCGATAGCAGCTGGACTGCTTGAGTAGCCATGTCTAAAGTCAGACACTGATGCTTGAGTTGCATTATACAATGGCTCCCTTTCCCCCTTAAGCTACTTGGAGCTGGGTGTCTATCATGCCCCACCCACCGTGTCCCTCATGACCAGCACAAGGACCCAGCTGAGCTTTGCACATGTGGGACAGAGGATACAGGAGAAAGGCATAGGCTGAGCTTGTGTCATAGGCAAGACTGCAGCTAATGGAGAGACTGGCAGACGATGACATGTTGGTTCATGTTGCTATTAAATTAATACTAAATTACTGACTTTATTCATCAAGTAAGAAAATCCAAGCTGAGGACTCATGGGCATGGGTTGGTGTTGGAATGCCTGTCCTTGGATTTGAGGTTTTTAGAAGGAGGTGCAAGCAACTTCTCTTTGACCTCAGACTTTTCTTGTCCCATGCTGTTTGGGTACCACCTGTCAACTGCTGATGCACATCAATTAGATGGGATATACTCCCACACCCAGAGGCACGACTCTGGTCCTTATACCATCTGTTTCTTCCTCTCAACAGCAACATTTTAGTCCAATACTTATGGTGCAGCCATCATTATCATCACCACCACCATCATAGGACAGTTATACTATGTCAAATGTTTTTTGTGCAGCATCTCATTTAATCTTCCCAACAATCCCATGAATGTAGGTCTATTAATATTTCCATTATACAGGTAAAGAAAAAGGCTCAGAGAAGTCAATCCACCAGTCTAATGTAACACAGCTAGGACACGGTAGAGCAGAACTTTAATCCTAGAGGTGTAATCTCAAAACCCATGATTTTACCCTTTGTCTGACACCCATTTCCTAGCAGAGTGGCTGGAAACAGTGATCAGAGAACAAATACTGACTAGGCTGAAACAAGAATAGCAGGGTTAGATGTAATTCAGACATATCTATTAACTTACAATAAGCTCTGTTCTCAATGTATTTGCTCAAAACATGTACAACAAGGTTACCTAGAAGGGAAAAAGGATCTTCAATCTCTAGCGAAGGTAGGGACCTGAAAATGTGATCTAGTTTTGACAGCTAGCCACCTCCAAGGAATCTCGTTCAGCTCTACCTCATTCCCATGGACTTTGGGGCTAGAGACCTGGGTTCAGATTCCAGCACTTTCCAGCTGTGTGACCAGGGAAAAATCCCCCCCTTTTTTTCTGACAAATGGGGCTACTAATTCTTGGTTCTGCATAGTGTGACTATAAGAATGCAATTGGATCCTGCATGGAAAGGGTCCGGCAGAGCAATGGACACTTAGCAGGGACACCACACAGAGGCTATAATTCCTCCTCTGCCAGGCCTCCCCCACCTTAGTTACTGGCCATGCTATACTCATCTGTGCTGATTTACAGAGCTTCCTCAAATCTGGGGCTCTTTTTATATTCCTCCCCTGAGGATATGTTTATTGATTTTTAGAGAGAGAAAGGAGAGAGGGAGAGGGGAGGTGGAAGGGAGGAAGGGAGGAGAGAGAGAGAGAGAGAGAGAGAGAGAGAGAGAGAGAGAGAGAGAGAGAGAGAGAGAGAGAGAGAGAAAGAGAGATATTAGTTGTCTCCCATATACCATACACACTCCGACTGGGGACCAAACCTGAAAGCTAGCTATGTGCCCTAAATGGGAATTGAACCCGTTACCCTTTTGGTGTACAGGATGTGCTCCAACTGAGCCCCCCAGCCAGGGCAAGGAAAGAATGCAGGTTGTCAATACGACAGGAACAATCTATAAATAGACAGCTGGATGAGATCAAAGTTACACTGCAGGAAATCGATGCACCGCAAGGACTCTGGGGGACTACTCTAAAGGCCAGAAAATGGAGCCTGCTGCTTCTTTTGTCCCTCCCTGCTGTGGATAACTGGGTGAACTAAGTCACAGAGCCAGCCCAAGCCACACCTCCACCAGCAGCGGGAGAACACCGAAAGCAGAGATCACAATTGAAATGACAACTGGGCCAGATAGGGAAGGGGGACAGGTGAGAACTTCAGAGACTTGGATAAACTTCTTATCTTTTAAGATGAACCAGAAATCTGGATTTTCATGGGAAATTCTGCTATTTTTAAATGGGCTATTAATTTTCAAATAGAACACCTGAAGTAAACACAACAAAACCAAACCAACATGAGGGCCAAACAAGACAGGTTAACGAGCTAACATCACCCTATGAGCTATCAGATTGTGTCTGGAGATCAATTCTAAGATGCTTGAATGCTCCTGGGCTGGATTTTAATGGTATTTTACCTCTGGATGGTGTTGCTGATCATGCAATCTCTCCTACAGGGGGCGCTCAAGACTGTATCCCTTCAGGCTGATCTCTGGCCATGGAGATTTGAACCCAGTTCAAAGCTGGATGGTAGTGATGCTATTGGGCCCTGTTCATTTTAATGAGGTAGGCACAATGGGCCCAATTGGGCTTTGGGTGCCTCAAATTCCTGCCGAAGTCTTGGGCAGCAAAGTGAGGCAACGGTGAGGGCACAGGGTTGAAGTCAGGATACTGGAAAACTCAGCTCCATGCTGGCATGGGACTCTTTCCCACTAAAGAGTAAACTCCCTAAGAGCGAGGATTTTGTCTTGTTCACTGCTAGAAGGCTGCCTGGCACATGCTTGGCATATTTGTTGAATGACCAGCTGACCAAATGGTTGGGGACATCACAAGCTATGGGCCTCAGGCTTCCCACAATAAAGAGGGAGTTAACAAGGCTGTCCTATTTACCTCAAAGTTGCCACAATGGGACACTGGATGCACAAAAGTGCTTGACAAAAGGTGTAAAGGACAATGACGTGAGGAGAAACACTTATTATGATTGCTGCTCTTCCCTGACAATTGAGGGACTACTTCAGATCCCACCGTGGCTGCCTTTCTCACACCCTCCATTTTCTTCTGGCTGCACCAACCTGCTTAGAAGGAAGCCCCCAAATGACCACTCAGATTTTCACTTCCATTTTTGTACTAAGACGGAGGAGATATGCTACCTTGCATTGTCCCGGCCGTGTGACTTCAAGAAATTCATATCTCGGTATCGGGAGAGAAATGCCACCAGTTGGTCATTTGTCCTGTAAACAAACAAAGAGGAAAGTTAGAATCCGCCAGAGACCCTGGGGAATTGAGTCTTGCTCCATTCTCTGTTACAGAAAATAGCATCCCTCCTCCTTTCACACCATACCCGCTGAAAAGGCTGTATTCCTTGATGAGTCGCCATCACTGGCCACACCACACCACACCACACCACACCAAAACAAAACACTGTGAGCTCCTTGAGGATAAGCATAACATCTTATTTTGGAATCTTTGGTGCCCAGCCTTGGGCTTGATAAATATAGTAAATCATCATTGCGTAGCTCAATGCAAATACATAGCAACTCCAGGGCCTTTGCACTTGCTGAGCATGCCAAATCCTGCCCTATATCTTCTCCTCACTAGCCGCTTGTGGTTATGCAGATCCCCTTTCAAATGTCATCTCATCAGAGAGGGTTTTGATAGTCACCCCACCTAATGTGGCACCCGCGTCCTCCCTGTCTGCCTTTATCATATCACTTTATTGACTTCACCCTCTTACCAGCATCTGAAGATGTTGAACTTCCTGACATTAGGATTTTAAGTTCCATCAGGACAGAACTAGCTGCACTTGCTCACCACTGGCATGTAGCAGGAGCCACACAAATGCTTGTGGACGAATAAATGACTCAAAGTGAGATTGAGTGTGAACTGACTCTTTCAAATGTATTTTGAGAAGCGAATGAATGAGTGAGTGAACGAGTGACTACCACGTTCTCAATAACCACCGGGCCACTGATTGAGAGGTCTTTACAAGAGATAAAGTGCGATACAAACAAATGACAACGTTCCCTGCATTGTTATCCCAAACGTATCTCCATCAATCTCGGCACTAGCAGTGTAGTCACAGCTAATCAGCGTGTGCACACAGCTGTGACAGCATTTTAAAAGGCAGTCACACCGGTCTCCGTCTGCCAGAAATGTAGTCTCCTCTTCCACCGAATAAACCCAAACAGGTAAACCGGTGCTGAAGTGACAGCTCCTTTATCATCGGGCTTCTCTGCGCAGGGGTTTTTATTTAGAAGAAAAGGGTTAACCATTGTTTGAAGTTGGGAGAGACGTGCAGGCGGTGAAAAGGAAGGACATTTATGGGAACAGACTGGGCGGCAGGCGGGTACCTTGGAAGGTGATGCCTGGGCTCAAGACGCGGGTAAATCTGGAGACAGATCCCTGGGGCTCTCCTGACCAGGCTCTGTGTCTCTCGAGGTAAGTCATTTGCCTTCCCTAGACTCACCTGGGTGGGTTTAAGGGGCACACAGTAGGTGTACAATGAGTACAAGCTTCTCTACTCTCTCTGCCTCCCAACATCTGGTCCAAGCCGCCACAACCCCTCCCTGCTCGCTCCTTCATTTCCCTGCAATTCCCTGCAGTCTCGCCTCTCTGAGCCCCTGTTCCGTGATTGGATGGCTCATGTTTGACCAACTCATAATACCCGCGGAGGGGCCACAGAGCAGTGAAGAGATGCTGCAGTGGAAGCGAGCACTGCTGATGTCCCGTCCCATTGCTGAAATAAACACGGATGCAAAACCGGCCCTTCTGGCTGGCAGACTCCAGAGAAACCCCGTTTGCACCTGCAACGCGCTACATCCGGCACACACAGCGACTCAGCCCTGCCTGTGCCCGGAGGTGAACCCCGGGGCTGCAGACAAAGGCTCGCACCACGTGTCTGCACAGTGAAGGTGCGTCTCCCGGGTGGACACACCCGCCCACTCACGGCCAGGTGAAGCCCACACGTGTCCCACACCAAGTGGCGGCAGCTTGTGGGCAGAGGGCCTCCTAAAGTTGCTGGGAGAGGTCTTCACTGAAGCAGCCAATACAAAAATTAAAGCGAGCTCCCTCCCAACCATCTCCACGTCCTAGCATTTCCTACTTGCCAGCCCCCTCGCTGCTCTCTGTGCCAGTTCATTATTGTTGTCCTGATGAATGCGGGGACAAGTTAACCTCTGAATAAGTCCCTGGCAGCAGGAATAATAAACAGGGGCCTCTCAGTAGCCACAGTGGGAGGGTTGAAGGGGCCGGATTGGGGGCCGGGGGGATGTGGGGAGGGAGAGGGTTCTCGAAGCCTCAGGCCTCCCAGGGTCAGCGGCTGCAGCTCCATTTGGCAACCCCAGAAAGCCCTTTCAGGGCCCCGAGCTGGGGCCATTTTCACATTTACCGCTTCACCAAGTCCCCATCTGACTGGGATGAATAGGCATTTAGCGAATTTACTTAGCGATGCTTCCACATGAAATCCTCTCAAAAGATGACATCGTGGTGGAGGGGGGAGGGCCGACGGGGAGGGAGCTGTGGATTCCAGGCCCATAGCTTGTGGGTAAAGCCGCTTTTCAAAGCAGAGAGCGGTGTCCCCGGCTTGTCCCCTCTCCCTGGGGCCTGGTCCCCCTCACTCTCCCTCTGCATGAAAAGCCTGCTGGGAATGCTAAAGCCCATCTCCCAGCTCTCCTCCAAGGGGGAGGGAATTCGGCTGGGGACCAAGTTTTCCTATTGTTGCTTGCAGACGCCTGTGGATAATTGCCTACATAATATTTAGTTCTCTCCAGATAATTAACAGCTTGCAATCTGTTGACATTTTACCCAGTTCTAGTTTCTCTCTCTCTCCCCCTCACACACACACTTCTCACTCACTCTCTTTGGTGCAGTCATTTGCCAAGTGGCTCCCACAGCTCAGCACTGTGTCTGTCTCCCCGCGAATTTCTTTGCACCTCGTGCAGAAACCATCATCTGTCCTCTGACTCGTGATGGTGACTCGGGTCCATCACAGTCCCCGCTGGAGACACTGGGACATCTTTGTTTTAATAAACATGATTTTCAATAAATACATATTAAAATAAGGGTATTGGAACCATATGGGGATATTGGCTGAAATGAATAAATAAATGAATAACGAAAGCAGCTCCGCTGACCACGTATGGAATGTCCATCACAGCACAGGCCCCACGTGACTGCATTTAGTCTTCACAAAGATGCCATCCAAGGTGAGCTTCATTTCCATCTTATGGATGGACAGCTGAGACTCAGACCTTTAGTAAAATGAAGACTCAGGATTGGAACTACCAGATCGACCGCTTCGCCAGTGAATGTGCGAATAAATGAATGAGTGAGTGAGTGAATTCCACTCCAGGTGCAGAAGAGGCCTCCCCGTTGCATCTGGTCTTCACAGCGAGAGCACCAGCCCTCCGCTGTGAGACGCCGTATCTCAGGCTCCCCCAACACCTACTGAGTTAAACTCTGCTTTTTAACAAGATTCCCAGGTGAGGCGCCTGCCCTTTAGAGCTTAAGGAGTGCTGCTTTAAGTCAAGCATGGATATCGGTAGTTAATTCTCTTTCCTTCTTCATCTTCTCCCCATGGGCTCTTCCTGAAAGCCCAGACCTCGAGCATGTTCCTTTCATCTCCGTGAGCCTCACGTGTTGCGAGTATTAAGTAAAATCATGCGTGTGAGACCTGTGCAGTGGCACCTGGCATATCCTAAGCCTTTGATAAACGTTGCCTGTTACTTAACAATACAGGGCGGAGCAAACATGGGTTTACTGTTGTGAGTACACGAAACACAGAATTTATTCTTACATTCTTATTTATTGATTATTGTATTAATTTCCATACCGTCAGCTGTAAGCCTCCTTTTGCCCCGCCCTGCACTGTTATTGCCATTTTGAGCGCCTAAGACATTTGCACGGGCTCAGCAGTGTGAGGACCCAGCCTACTTTGAACTTGGAAGGCTTCCTTTGCATCACACCCACGCAATGTTCTGCAGAGCGAGGTCTGCACACCCCTAGAGGGACTTATCCGGTCTCCAAGTCGGTGTCAGAGTTGGGAACTGTCTCCCAGGGGCTCCTGCACCACCACACGTGTCTAATATGCAGAATGGCTCTGGGCTGCACACATAGGGAGGAGCATGGCTCACTCTCTGGTCCTTCCCCACACCCTCCCTCCCTCAGGAGCCCAGCCACAGCCATGCCATCTGCTGGCATGTGTGACAGGCGAGGAGAGGATGGAGCCTGCTTAGGCCCAACACAGAGCCCTTCTCTGGGTCCCTCCTGCCCCCCACAATTGGGCCCCAAATCTCCTCCAATAGAGGATGCTGAGAAGAATCGGGTGCTCACGACTGAGGGTGAGGCTGATGGTGCTCAGGCGGAAGTGAAGCACAGAGAGTTTTGTGAATGTCAGGATTAAGGATTTCAAATCCCTGATGCAGACTGGTGAGTATGCACAGACCCAAGGGACCAGAGTCAGCCCTCCTGGGCTCAGGCCCTGGGCCCCCTGTGGCGCGGAAATGTGCAGGAGGGAAGTGAAGGCAGGACTGTGGGAAGGGACAAGCAGAGGGTGGCGAGGGTCTAGGAGGCACCTTCAGTCTGAGCTCAGGGTCTACTCCTGGTGTATCATCTGTACTGTGATCTCACCCCTTATGTATGTTGCATTTACATACCACTTTAGCTTCACCCTAAGCAACAATGCATGTGATCGCTTGTGTACCTTTCCCCCCTCAAATTTTAAACTGAGGTAAACACACAAGCTTGCCTTTGCCATCTCAACCGTCATTAAGTGTACAGTTCCACAGTGTTAAGTACATTCGTACTGTTGTGCAACCATCCCCACCATCCATCCCCAAACTTCTTTCCATCTTGTAAAACTGAAACTCTGAACTCATTAAATAATGGCTCCCTATTTCCTCCCTGCCCTGAGCCTCTGGTAACCACCATTCTTCTTTCCGTTTCAATGAACAGTCACATTCATACAGTAGACAAACGCTAGATACCTCACCTAAGTGGAATCACATGGTATTTGTATTTTTTTGTGACTGGCTGCCTTCTTTCACCCCAAATCCTTTCCTCCAGGCTCATCCACATGATAGCATGTGTCAGAACTTCTTTCTTTTTTAAGGCCGGGTAATATTCCATCAGGGCGAACCACTGTTATGTGGTTTCCTGTTACATGTGAAAAGCAACAACAACTACTACTTGTCTGTGTGCCTCCTACAGCACCTTGGCTGCCAGGGGCATAGGT